ATGGTGCTACAACATCATGGTGCTAAAGGATCATGGTGCTACAACATCATGGTGCTAAAGGATCATGGCGCTACAACATCATGGTGCTAAAGGATCATGGTGCTAAAGGATCATGGTGCTACAACATCATGTTTCTACAACATCATGGTGCTAAAGGATCATGGTGCTACAACATCATGGTGCTACAACATCTTGGTTCTACAACATCATGGTGCTAAAGGATCATGGTGCTACAACATCATGGTGCTACAACATCATGGTGCTAAAGGATCATGGTGCTACAACATCATGGTGCTAAAGGATCATGGTGCTACAACATCATGTTTCTACAACATCATGGCTCTACAACATCATGGTGCTACAACATCATGGTGCTAAAGGATCATGGTGCTACAACATCATGGTGCTACAACATCATGGTGCTAAAGGATCATGGTGCTACAACATCATGGTGCTAAAGGATCATGGTGTTAAAGGATCATGGTGCTACAACATCATGTTTCTACAACATCATGGCTCTACAACATCATGGTGCTACAACATCATGGTGCTAAAGGATCATGGTGCTACAACATCATGGTGGTACAAAATCATGGTGCTACAACCTCATAGTGCAACAACATCATGGTGCTACAGGATCATGGTGCTTCAACTTCATGGTTCTACAACATCATGGTGCTAAAGATCATGATTCTACAACATCATGTTTCTACAACATCATGGTGCTACAACATCATGGTGCTAAGGGATCATGGTGCTATAACATCATGGTGCTACAACATCATGGTGCTAAAGGATCATGGTGCTACAACATCATGGTGCTAAAGGATCATGGTGCTACAACATCATGGTGCTACAACATCATGGTGCTAAAGGATCATGGTGCGACAACATCATGGTACTACAACATCATGGTGCTACAATATCATGCTGCTAAAGGATCATGGTGCGACAACATCATGGTGCCACAACATCATGGTGCTAAAGGATCATGGTGCTACAACATCATGGTGCTACAACATCATGCTGCTAAAGGATCATGGTGCGACAACATCATGGTGCTACAACATCATGGTGCTAAAGGATCATGGTGCTATAACATCATGGTGCTACAACATCATGGTGCTAAGGGATCATGGTGCTATAACATCATGGTGCTACAACATCATGGTGCTACAACATCATGGTGCTAAAGGATCATGGTGCTACAACATCATGGTGCTAAGGGATCATGGTGCTATAACATCATGGTGCTAAAGGATCATGGTGCTACAACATCATGGTGCTACAACATCTTGGTTCTACAACATCATGGTGCTAAAGGATCATGGTGCTACAACATCATGGTGCTACAACATCATGGTGCTAAAGGATCATGGTGCTAAAGGATCATGGTGCTACAACATCATGTTTCTACAACATCATGGCACTACAACATCATGGTGCTACAACATCATGGTGCTAAAGGATCATGGTGCTACAACATCATGGTGCTACAACATCTTGGTTCTACAACATCATGGTGCTAAAGGATCATGGTGCTACAACATCATGGTGCTACAACATCATGGTGCTAAAGGATCATGGTGCTACAACATCATGGTGCTACAACATCATGGTGCTAAAGGATCATGGTGCTAAAGGATCATGGTGCTACAACATCATGGTGCTACAACATCATGGTGCTAAAGGATCATGGTGCTACAACATCATGTTTCTACAACATCATGGCTCTACAACATCATGGTGCTACAACATCATGGTGCTAAAGGATCATGGTGCTACAACATCATGGTGCTACAAAATCATGGTGCTACAACCTCTAAGTGCAACAACATCATGGTGCTACAGGATCATGGTGCTTCAACTTCATGGTTCTACAACATCATGGTGCTAAAGATCATGGTTCTACAACATCATGTTTCTACAACATCATGGTGCTACAACATCATGGTGCTAAGGGATCATGGTGCTATAACATCATGGTGCTACAACATCATGGTGCTAAAGGATCATGGTGCTACAACATCATGGTGCTAAAGGATCATGGTGCTACAACATCATGGTGCTAAAGGATCATGGTGCGACAACATCATGGTACTACAACATCATGGTGCTACAACATCATGCTGCTAAAGGATCATGGTGCGACAACATCATGGTGCTACAAGATCATGGTGCTAAAGGATCATGGTGCTACAACATCATGGTGCTAAGGGATCATGGTGCTATAACATCATGGTGCTATAACATCATGGTGCTACAACATCATGGTGCTACAACATCATGGTGCTAAAGGATCATGGTGCTACAACATCATGGTGCTAAGGGATCATGGTGCTATAACATCATGGTGCTAAAGGATCATGGTGCTACAACATCATGGTGCTACAACATCATGGTGCTACAACATCATGGTGCTAAAGGATCATGGTGCTACAACATCATGTTTCTACAACATCATGGCTCTACAACATCATGGTGCTACAACATCATGGTGCTACAACATCATGGTGCTAAAGGATCATGGTGCTACAACATCATGGTGCTACAACATCTTGGTTCTACAACATCATGGTGCTAAAGGATCATGGTGCTACAACATCATGGTGCTACAACATCATGGTGCTAAAGGATCATGGTGCGACAACATCATGGTGCTACAACATCATGTTTCTACAACATCATGGTGCTACAACATCATGGTGCTAAAGGATCATGGTGCTACAACATCATGGTGCTACAAAATCATGGTGCTACAACCTCATAGTGCAACAACATCATGGTGCTACAGGATCATGGTGCTTCAACTTCATGGTTCTACAACATCATGGTGCTAAAGATCATGGTTCTACAACATCATGTTTCTACAACATCATGGTGCTACAACATCATGGTGCTAAAGGATCATGGTGCTACTACATCATGGTGCTAAAGGATCATGGTGCTACAACATCATGGTCCTACAACATCATGGTGCTATAGGATCATGTTGCTACAACATCATGGTGCTAAGGGATCATGGTGCTACAACATCATGGTGCTAAAGGATCATGGTGCTACAACATCATGGTGCTACAACATCTTGGTTCTACAACATCATGGTGCTAAAGGATCATGGTGCTACAACATCATGGTGCTAAAGGATCATGGTGCTACAACATCATGGTGCTACAACATCATGGTGCTAAAGGATCATGGTGCTACAACATCATGTTTCTACAACATCATGGCTCTACAACATCATGGTGCTACAACATCATGGTGCTAAAGGATCATGGTGCTACAACATCATGGTGCTACAAAATCATGGTGCTACAACCTCATAGTGCAACAAAATCATGGTGCTACAGGATCATGGTGCTTCAACTTCATGGTTCTACAACATCATGGTGCTAAAGATCATGGTTCTACAACATCATGTTTCTACAACATCATGGTGCTACAACATCATGGTGCTAAGGGATCATGGTGCTATAACATCATGGTGCTACAACATCATGGTGCTAAAGGATCATGGTGCTACAACATCATGGTGCTAAAGGATCATGGTGCTACAACATCATGGTGCTACAACATCATGGTGCTAAAGGATCATGGTGCGACAACATCATGGTACTATAACATCATGGTGCTACAACATCATGGTGCTAAAGGATCATGGTGCTACAACATCATGGTGCTAAAGGATCATGGTGCGACAACATCATGGTGCTACAACATCATGGTGCTAAAGGATCATGGTGCTACAACATCATGGTGCTAAGGGATCATGGTGCTATAACATCATGGTGCTATAACATCATGGTGCTACAACATCATGGTGCTACAACATCATGGTGCTAAAGGATCATGGTGCTACAACATCATGGTGCTAAGGGATCATGGTGCTATAACATCATGGTGCTAAAGGATCATGGTGATACAACATCATGTTTCTACAACATCATGGCTCTACAACATCATGGTGCTACAACATCATGGTGCTAAAGGATCATGGTGATACAACATCATGTTTCTACAACATCATGGCTCTACAACATCATGGTGCTAAAGGATCATGGTGCTACAACATCATGGTGCTACAACATCATGGTGCTACAACATCATGGTGCTAAAGGATCATGGTGCTACAACATCATGGTG